AACTTATTTTACTTCTTCGTTTCCCCTAAAAGATGGTGTTAATTCTTTCGTTATTCTTGCTTGTGCGCAAGTATCAATTTTTTGTGAATTTTTGAGGATATTTATCGTCTGTGTAAGATTTTCTCTTCCTCTTTTCAAGTCAGATCAGTACGTGTACGCACGTAGAGTTAGGATTTTTGGTAAAGCCATTTTGAATTTTTCGCGTGGTGATTGGTTCCTAATCCAAATTTTTGGGATTCATCTACGTGTTGTGCAACTTATTGGTAACGTTTTTGCACGTCCAATTATCGGATTACTCCGGATTAAACCGTATTTTGAAACTTTTCTAAGTTTTCTGACTAAACCTCGAAGATCTGAGGTAAGATATTTTTATTGAATACATTTTATATTTTCCCTTACACATTCATACCTTCATTTATTCAAACATACATCCTTTTACCACCGAATTAACTAAACTATTATCATCATTTTTTTCTTTTTTTTTTATCTTATTTTTCCATCCTTTCTACTTTTTTTTCTCTTTTCTAATTTCCTCGTGTTCATTTAAGGTTTTAATTGAAGAGCATAAATTTTGGCAACCTTTCTGTAACATTTTCGAAACAGAAGTTTGGTTATTTTGTGAGATTTTCAATCCATTTTCGAAGTTCTACTTTTTCGGAGGGGTTCTTCCTTGAGGGTTTTGGTCGAGGTTGCATTGCAACCACCTATTAAGTTTTCCTTTCCCTGGATCGGAGGAGATTGTCGCTGGAGCTGGAAGAATTTGCTTGGATTGCCTACACGTGGTCAAGACAAGGTCAGACCTAAACGTTTGTTTTTATATACCGCTTCCCGGTGAACTTTTGTTCAGTTAATTAGTACAATTTAAATCAAAATCATTAAATCATAAATCAAATAAGTTAATTATATATATCATAAAATTATCATAAATTGAAAATATTCAGTATTTTGTTGTCAGTTAAATCAAACAAAATAATTTTTTTTATTTTTCTTTGTAAAATTTTGGCGTACATTTTTTTTTGTTCCACGAATTAGTTTTTGTTTTCTTTCTTGACGCCACACTGATATCAGGGGTACGGGTCGTGCGCGTAATTCAATTTAAATTTATTATTTTCTTTTTGCGTACTTGTTTTGGTCATTTATTTCAACTTTTTTTGGTACGCCAATAATTCTTTTTTTTTTGTGTTGCTTCACGCTTGCTGGACAACAACATTTTATTTACTTTAGGAGTAGTAACGGTCGTTACTGTTAGGAACTAAAGTAATTTATTGGGATACACGACCAACACGACAAGGCTAGATAATTGAAAGATGCTTCCTTTTATCTTTACCAAGCTTTCAGAAATTTTATTTTTCCTTCCTCAGGGTAACTACAATATTGAGACAACAAAAGTTATAATAATTAACAAAAATGTATCTTAACAACTTACAAAAATGCATTGCATATGGAACTGAACCAAAGCTAAACATGAGGTCGCAGAAATTGAACACTAGACATCTCTTATTAAAACTATACTTCTCATAATTCATAAAGGTGACGAATTAAAGATCAAATAATACCAAAAATATTTACAACGTTAATTATGAAACTATTAAATTAAGTATTACTTACAATAAGAACACGTTAAAATTTTACGTTAAAAGTTAAGACGCAATAAGTCACGTAAGTTTTTTATACCACAAAAACTGGAAAGAAACGAGGCTGACCAACCGTCGTCCCGGCAAAACACCAAATACACTAAAGGTGGGTTCATGCAACGTGTTTTAGTCGTAGTTGTTTGCATAGTGGTAAGAGTGAAAAGTTAAGGTATTGTGTTATAGTGGTACTGTTCATGCAACACCTTACGACTAAAATCGTTTTTGTCCTAGTCCCAAGAGTTGCCCAACTTTTAACTTTTTAAAGCTAAAACAATCGGTCGTAACGTGACGAATGCTCACGTTACGTTTGCTTGCGCGTTTTGTATTTTATTGTATTAAGGTTGTTGTGCGTTATTGTTTCGACAATTATTTCAATGGAATCAAATGCGGACCAAATTGACTCAAAATTAATAGAGAATATTTTATTAATATAAAAAATTTAAGGTCAAACGCGCGATACATGGTCATATTGCCATGTTACACTTCCAATACCGTTAAAATATTCGCACAACAAGTCTCTGTTCTTCTGGAACCTTCTTGCCGCATTGTTGCTTCCAACCCATCCTATATTTTGCAGTGACATTGGTTCAGCTCGCCACGGACCATTCATAATTTCCCCTGACTCTGACTGAATAATATCACCATATTCTGGAGGACAGTACCTTTCGCTTTGCTGTTCAATACGAAGGAAGTTATGGAAAATTGAATGAATTTCGTTGTTGTAAGTAGGTAGTGGTAACACTTCGGAATCGGAGCATGTTATAGAAAAATTTTTATCCTCCTTCTGCTAGAAACATGCTCCAAAACG